AGAATGATGAAAAAGGGGTCCCTATGTCCTCCAGCAGTCTAAGCCTATAGCAGCAGAACTATAGAGATAGCTCTGGATAACCTGAGCCACTCTAACTAGAAGCTTTATCAAAATGGAAAGTTTTAAGCCTAGCCTTAAAAGTAGACAGGGTTTCTGCCTGTGATGAAATACCAATCAGAAGTTTAGGGAAGCCTTTGAAATGAAGGAAATGTTTCGATGTTGCAGGAGTTTATTGAGAGCGATAGTTACACTTTTTAATCAAAAGCCTTGTAACGTAGCTCATAGCAATCAAAGGTGGCAGTGTTTTTCCTCTTAGGTTTATTCTGAGGAATTTGGGGATTTCCTGTCAACTACCAACCAACCCATGTGGTTCTGAGGCGAAGCAGAGCTGACGGGGTGGGTGCTGTGGTGCATCGTATGGTAGCAAGACCAAGCGAAGCTTCATGAGGGAAATATGGAGACAGAACTGGTAAAAATATCATAAGACAAACATTTACAGAAAGGGTTTGCAGAGTGACGAAGGTCAGCAGAAGTTGATTTATCCTCCTAAACATCAGGAGAAAACGAATAAATGTGCTAAAAAACTAAACCTGGTTCCCTGGTTCACAGCAACACAGAGGCCTTTAGTTTATGCATGAAGGGGAGAACCTGCAGGAAAATTAATAAAACTAGAACCCAAAACAAACAGTGAAGTTTGTGTCTGTCAGCAGAACAACGTGGAGTAAGAATAGGTTCTGAAAAGGTACGCAGGAATAATGCAAGAAATTAACTTTTCTTTTTAAATGTCTAAATTCAATAAGTAAAGCGCAAAAATGTCTCTATTAGCTGTGCAATATTGCAATGTAAATGCATTTCTATCAACCCCACCCTAAGTTCATCATTTAAACTTTTATTTCTTCTTGCTTGAAGAAGTATAATTTTTTTTTACTTGTTTCAACCAACCTTATTTTTTATCTCTACCTTTTATAAAGCTTCAGGTTTTTCTTAATTTAGACTCAGACAACTTTTATTGTCATTTTGTTTACACCATGACGGAGTATTAGGGCCAGGCTAGAGATTTTTTTTTTCTATTTCGAGAATAAAGTCATAAAATTACAACAATAAAGTCTTGAAAAATTATGAGAATAAAGTCGTAATATTACAATTATAATAATAAAAAAATCTCTAGCCTGGCCCTAATACTCCGTCGTAATACACAGAATGTATGCAAAACCAAATTTAGTTTAGTTCAGCTTTCAGACAGAAAATGAACATTTCCATTCCATGATGTGCAGCAGTGATCAAATGCAAAAAAAAAAAAAAAATGGTGCAAAAAAAGAAAAAGTGTCAATACGGAGGTAATTAGGAACTCTGTGATTTTACATTTTACTAAAATTAGTAGTTTATTCCAGAGATGTCGAGTAACAAAGTACAAATACTTCTGTCAGGTTTCTGTTTCTTTTATGTTTTTCTTTTGAGTATTCAGTCTTACTTTACTCCTTGTTTTCTAGTGTTTAGTTTTCTTTTCTCCAAGTTTTATAGTCCTAGTTATTTGATTATCATTTTGTTGTTATTTCCAGTCTTCCAGGTTTCTATTTGTTGCTCTCTGCTGCCCTCTTATGTTCTCCTTCTTCCCTAGCTCTTTCCCTGTGTTGTTCTTTGCCCACCTGCTCCCAGTTTCCTCATTAGCCCCCTCTTTGTCTCAGTCTCCTTTAAAAGCGCTCTCTCTTCAGTTCCCCTTTGTTGGGTCCTCCTCAAACACCGTCTAACTTGCTCCAACTCCGTCTCTCTGTGCCTTCCTCCTTTTGATTGTGACTCCCCAGATGTCTCCATGGTTTCTGGTACTTTTAGACTAGTTTTCATGTTTTTGATTTTTGGACTCCTGGTTTCATGTTTGTTTGGACTTTGTTTTCTTTTTGGATTTTTGGATAACCTGCCTCTGTTTTCTGTTAAGTCATTATTAAATCCACAACAGATTCACCTCTGCCTCCCGGCCTCTGCTTTTGGGTCAACTAACCATAGCCAAATCGTGACAACTTCATTAACTTACTTCAGGTGAAATTCTAAACTTTTTAATTTCTTACTAAAAATAGACTCGTTGGTTTTTTGTTTAATTTCAGCTCATTTTCATTATGGCCTGTTGGTGTTTAAGAAAAAAAAAAATGAAATCCATCAAAATAATTTATTTCATCCAGACAATTAATTTCTTTGCGGCTGGACTCGGTGCTGCCCCAACTTGTTGTTTACCACAAACCAAAATAAATGGTTTTTCAAGACGATGCAAAGTTAAATTTGACACCATTAGTTATAAAACTAAGATAATAAAGTGTAAGGAAGTTATCATCTAGACAGTTAGCTGTTACATCAAGTTATTCTATGAGTTCAGACATTTTACTGACAGACAAAAGAAGGTGAACTTAGACATTCTAGAGGTGATGAAGAAGAGGAGCTACAGCAGTGCAGCTGCCTAAATGCCTGGGGGTGGGGGTGGTGGAGAGAGGTTTTTGGGTCCTGGAAAAATGAGCTCTGACCTGTTGATTTACAGGGTCCCATGTGGTGAGGAGGTCAAAGGTCAGGGCTTTGAGCCTTTGCCAACATCTCGCTCCATGTGTCTACAGACAAACAGATTCATGTCCATGTGTGGCTGCCAGCGTGTGATCTATGCATCCCCTGGGGGGGGGTCTGCTGCACGCCATCTGCTCCCCACATAAACGCAGCATTCAGTGTTTTTCCCTCTGTTAAGTTTTTACGTTTGTCTGCAGGCAGTGAGGTTGTTTTTAGCGGCATATTAGCATCACTTTCATTATTACTAATTATTAATTCATTATTAATTTTGCTAAAACTAGTTAAGATCGCCGTCATGGTTGCCTCGTCTCCTTCAGTTTGATTTTATAAATCCAGACGCTGGTGAAGATTCTCATTCATCCAGGTCAGAGTCGTTTCAAAAAAGTTAAAATCAATCCACTGGACTTTGTTTCCACGTTTGAAGACGTTTCTCTTCCATCCTGGAAGCTTTTTTAATTCAAAATGTCAGAAATAGTGTTGAGTTCCAGGTTTTATCCAGCAGCCCAACAAAGCCTGGTTTTAGTTTAGAAAACATGCAAATAGAAACGGATGAACGGGTCCCCCCCTTTGGAATGGGGGTTGTTTGGCTTCTTTGTTAGCCTGCAATGCCCCATACCTGTCTATGTCTCTGAAAGGGGGGTCCTTAGAGGGAATAGTTGGCCTGGCTGAACAGGGGAGGTCTTCTGTTCTCCTGTAAAGGAGTTGGAGCTGCGATGATAGCGGGAAGGAATCAACTCTATTCCGCTTCTTGAACGCTGTAACCCGTTTAAGGTTGATTTCTCTTTCCTAACTTAGATGCATGTTTTCTAAAGGCTTTGTTGGGCTACTGTATAAAGCCTGGTACTCAACGCTATTTCTGACATTTTGGATTTAAAAAGCTTCCAGAAACGTCTTCAAACTTGGAATTGTTTTCCTCAGGAGCAGCAAAGCACCTGAGGGGGGCAGCGTTTACTGATGCTTCATAGAAATTACGCTACCGTGCGTTATGCTATAAGTTAAGCTGTCGTTCGACAAAAGTTGTGGACTCGTTAAGAATACTCTATGAATATGCCCACAATAGAAATAATACATAGAAAGTTCAGTGTATGCTAAATCGGCATGGTGTGACAGCGCCCTTAGAATGAATAACCCTGATATTCATGCAAAGTGCTAAAAGCAGAATTTCCCACCACTGAAGCTCAGAATAAAACAGATCTTAACAGATCTTTGTTGTTCAGATCTAGATCTAACATTTAAATCAGTATAGAACAATCGTCTCAGTAAATGTCAGACAAAATACCACTAAGCCAACAAAATAACCAGACATCTCTTATTAGCATTAGACTCTGTGGACATCATGTCTCCCATGCTGACCCGTGTTCATGTCATACATCGTGTGTTTGCATGTAATGACCAGAGATCCTGTGTTTCCAGACCAAGTCAGTCTAGAGATAAACGACTTGGACAACTTTATCTCCATAATCTATGTAAACCTTTCATCACGCAGAATCCATCTCATCTTCCTGAGAAGATCCAAACAGAACAAATCTAGATTCCTTTGTCCTTTTTTTCCCAGTTTCTAACACAAACAAACATCCATCTTTATCCTCCTAAGACGAACATCCCAACACGCTGCAGTGATCGTTCACATCTGCTTTCAAGTTGGAGATAATCTGATTGTTTATCAATAAGAAGAGAAGAAAAATGCAAAAAATGCGGAAATCTTTGACGTCCAGCTTTGGATTAAAACCAGACCTTTGGTGTTTATCAATCGTTCAGAGCTGCAGGGTCAGTGGAGGACAGTAAGTTAGAACAAGCTGCTGGTATCCAGGGGGGGATTTACCATTAGGCAATACTGGGCAGTTGCCTAGGGCCCCAAGTTCCTGGGGGCCCCTTAAACTCTGTTCCCATGTATTGTTAACGCAACTATTACTTAATTATGTTTTTGATAAAAATCATTTTGCTAAAATGCCATCAGAACGCTGATAATATTAAGTGT